ATATGATTCGTATAGCGGAGGCTAATATTGATATTCTGGAATAAACCGGCTGGGTTAGGACAGAAGCTACTATTTCGATGGAGCAGTAAGAACTTAGAATTGACTCTGGACTGCTCGTAATAGTTTATGCGTCATTGGCCTGGTCAGTTATTCGGTGTTCTAATCACGTGATAATTAACAGTCCGTAAGAACATAACACAAACAATACACTCTTCAATTGTTTCAGTAGTGTAAGGAATATATACTTTCAATGTAAGAAAACTTACAAATTTTCCATAGAAAACTTTTTTAAAGTATGCACTTAATTTTAATTCAAGGCAGTAAACCACCCTCTGTAAGTCAGCTTACTTATAAGTAGTTTGTCCTGAACTTGAAAAACAATAACCATAAGAGAACTAATGTTTCATGATCATATGCACATCAGTAAAAGTTTCTGAGAATTTTAATTCATCATTAAATCGTTTTCATTTTTTTATTGAATAATGGAAACTGATTATCATAAAGGTATGAACGGATTAATCAAATAAGAAACTAAATTTAATCCAGTTTATATTAGTTACCTACATAATAATTATGAAATATAACCAATTACATTTGTGGAAACAGGAAAATCTTCGGAAAATAATACTCATATTGATCACAAATGTTTAGTCCATGTGAACTTACATAAGATATTCAGTGACCATGAACTATTTCGACATTTGTTCAATACGGAATCTTCAAAAACAATAATCAGTTATGAGGAATTCGGATTGTTTTATACCCTCGGATGTGATTCGTTGTTATTAATGGTATTTCTGTCACTTTAAATTTAACACTGTACATTTCAATACATCAAGTTTTATTCAATCTATGTCAATCGAATTGTGAAACAAACTACCGGTAAATATTTGATTATTTGACTAAATGCATAATTAGTTATCTAAACAACATTTGGCATTGAAACAGGGCTTTTAATTAGTTAATCAAACACTAACTTCAAAATTTCTTATTACTTAAGTGACAACCAACTTACGTAACTAATTGTCTGAAATCCTATCTATATGGTAGAACAACTAATTATCCGCTTGATGTCTTCACTATTTTAGTATCTCTACACAAAATAATTGATAAAATATAGCTTTATTAGCTACGTTTGAAATATTATGTAACGAACGACAGATAAGTTATGATCATTTTACTGAAAGAGCTGTTTAACTTGGACTTTCAGTCTTTACTCAACAATAAGAACTCTAATAATTGAATTCCAATCAAGATTCGGTACTCAAAATCCTATTTAGACACGTATTCGTTTTTAATATCCCGTTAATCTGACTCGGGTTTGATCATATGATGACGTAAACGAAATATACATGCCGCCAACCCTCGTAAACAATTATTGATTTAATCCGCGTTAGGGAGTAACGGAATAAATTTTGGATACGTATATTTCATACGTTCGTTGATCCAGACAGACAATTAAAGGAAGCACATAGGATAAGGCATACATGCCAAATAGATTTGATCAAACGCAACTCAGTATTGATAGCCAGATAAAAAGAAACTATAGACATGTGATGAACAGAGTAAGCGATGGACACACACTCGAATATGAACAGTCAAGGTTATAAGAAAATAATTGACAAGGTCAAAATTTGACTCAAGAAGAACGAATAGGTTAGTTTTTCCGGAATCTAGAGTAACCCATGTGGGATTGACATAGCACCAGACACTACATCGTTATACCTTCACCTTCTTTAAATACTATATTACATCATGAAAACCATACTTATTTTATGGGATTAACAGTATGAAGAAACTGGATTCTTTTGTATAAGTGTTTCATGAAAAACAAATATGATGGTCAAATGAATGTGAGCATAAGGCTCACAATAATTTTATCGACTCTGATCAATACACGGGAATGACTACTTAATTATAATTAAAGACGTGGATCTAACGTTCTACCTATAAATTGCACTCAAACTAATCAGCCCGCATGTATGTTCTTCACCTTATTTTATTGGTTTTCAACATTTAAAAAAATTTTAACAAGAAATACGGGTGAATTACTTGAGAACTTTAAATCTTCAAATACATAATATCCAAGTTCGTAAACCTACAAATCACATGTTTAAAATAATATAGGATTTATGCAAAGTGCCCATATAGTACATGTATATATATAATGTACTTCTAATGGGGTATTATTAGTTTTTTTTGCGTATTTCCCAGTCGGTTTGTTAAATTAATTAAAATAATCCAAGAAAAGACTATTATTATCCAAAATGAAATTTCTTAATTATATAATTTTTCTCAAAATATGGTTACTTTTATTCCATGTTATTGTATGTAATGGTGGCTATGGAAAAACTTCCTACGATCAAGTGGATAGTGACTACAAAGATGCAGTAGAACAAGAAATAGTCAAAGCACCTTTGAGTTTCATGCCAGGTACGAAAAAATGTTACATTTTTGACCATTCATAATTATAGTAATGTTAACTGAATTTTAATACCGTTGAATTCTCTAAATTAGATGGATTAATTGAAGAGCTTTCATTATCGTTCTAGATAACATTATCAGAGCTGAGTTCATGTTGAAGTGAGCCTCTTCGTTACCACACACAATCATTCTAGTGGCCTAGCTTGTAAGAACTCATCAACACTAAAAGCATACATCTGAAGTAAAAATATTTCTACATCATTAAATTATCATAAAAACTAATTTATTGAAAGAGATCGGCTTGGCAACATTCGTAGAATTTCTCACACTTCTATTACTAAGTCAGAATCGTTTATTGTTAAATTTAATCATATTTGTATACGAAATTTTACAGAGTGCTCGTCTGATATTGAGCGAAAGAAAATCGTTAATGCTTATTAATGAAGAAATAATATCATATCATAACTAAGGATTCATAGTGGATAATTATTCCCGGTTAGAAAGCTAAAACATTTTATCGATAAAATAATGAATGACTTTTACAGTTTATTACTATCAGTAATAAATAATTATACAGTTAGTTGCTTTTAACTTATAACTTCATAATTCTATGACATTTTGATTCGGAAACTGTTGATGTTAATTGAAACGCCAATACCATCTTAAACATAATTTCAAACAAGGTGGTAACATATACACTAATTCAATAGTCTAAGCGGATAAAGTAAGAACAGATAGAAAATATCAAAAAATCTCATGGTTTATTATTTACCGAGAAATTTCTTGTAATCCAGTTAGCTATACAACGACTGGTTAACGATGAACAAATAAGATTTTTATTCTTTACAACATTGGATTAGATTTTCAAGTGATTCATGTCTGGGAATAGTATTCCTCCCAAGAAAAATGCATCCGTGCTATCGTTGTCGTCATTTGTTAGTTAACTTATAATTCTTTTCTCAACCCTAAACAAATCGCCAAGTGAAAATAAGACGACTACTAAGTAATGAAATAAATATAAACTGAACTAACCAGTACAGGGGATTTATAGAGATTGTAGTATTTGAATCACAAACTGACCACCACTGACAACCTGGAAGCATTGAACGGTCGTTTCGTCCTAGTATGGGACTCAGAAGTGAGCATCCGAACAGAAGTGCTGGACTTCTGATCTTACCAATTTCAAATATATGATTACTTCAAAAAATCTTTTAGCTCTGATAGTCTAATGTCTACTGAACACCTAAAAATATCATAAAAATATTATTCTTATAGACTTTTCACTTTCTTCAATCAAACAACTGAATGGAAAAACTTATTTTGAATCATTAAAATGAAATCCAGTTATCAGTAATATTTGATCATATGCTTTCGAATGATCTCTATTCTCAAAATAGAAAATATTTAATTTTATAGAAGAATGTTTAAAAGATTTTCTCATAAGAATTAAGCTAAATTGGTGGATTATCAAATAGAAATCAAATCTGAGTAATGACTGAGACAAATCCAAAGTATTCGGTTTACAAAACTTATCTAAAGATAATTTTTCTTTGAAGTAATGAAAAACTAAGATTTTCAACATAAAACGATTATAAACTTTGTCTTAAAGTATATTTCAGCTAACTTACTAAATTGTTTCGGAAAGAGAAGATAAAAGAATTAGAATATGAGAATTTAGTTTCTCAAAACAGATGTACATTCTGAAGTACATTTTAGTTATGAGATCATTCAATATTGATATTATGTAAAACAGTAATAAGATACATATATACCATTATCTGTACTAACCAATTTCCAAAGTCTAACGAATAAGAATCAAAAATTACATTGAAGTCATTAGCTAGGAAGAATAATCACTATAGCATGATATTATCCATCTGTATTTTAATGTCCAATAAGTGTATGGTGTCCAACATTTTAAGATATTTCTCCGTCCAGTAAGTGGCTGACTGTTGTAGAGTGTAATTTTCATCTTAAACATTCTAGGTTTTTAATTTCAGAACGGGTTTTGTGGAGATTTTAGTAACTTCAGTGGTTAAGATCATGAGTCAGTTGAAGCTAAACCACCATGGAAAACCTGGAAGCATTGGATAGTAACTCACCGAAGACAATGGTGGATATGTTGCTCAATTTCGTGGATTATTTGAAGCTAGACATTAACACCGTTGGATGCCGGCTCAGTGATCTGGTGGTTAAGTACTCGCGCGCGAAACCAGTAGGTCCTGGGTCCGAATCTCGCGGGGGGCGGGGCCGTGGATGTGCACTGCTGGGGAGTCCCATAATAGGACGGAACGGCCGTCCAGTGCTTTCGGGTTCCCCATGGTGGTCTAGCTTCAACTGACTCACGATTTTAACCATTGAAACCCCAGGTTTTTCCCATCTGTCTACCATGAATATGTCAATGTAGCGAATTCCAAAATTTAACATGAAAGTTAAGGCTTGAATTGATATGTTTAGTGAAAACTGTACAACACTAAGCCATTTAATGAACGGATAAGATAACTACATATAATATATCACTATTTTGCAAGTTGTTCATTAAAATATAACTCCTTTTCCTATACATTGTTTTTAAGTATGCAAACCTCAACAAATACATACATTTTCTCAAAAACAAATTCGATGTGCATGCGGGATCAAGTGTCAATACCTATGTCAAACAAAGACGACAAAAGAAAAAGAAGGTGAACAAGGAAAAACATGCAGAAGAGTGTGTCGTCAAAAGCCATGTTACCGGCCATCAATACACAAAGTTTACCACTATAGCCTAGCAGGTGGTCTTTGTAGAATGTAAGTATGATCTTCGTGATTAAATTACACCAGTAATTATTATATTCATGTAATCAAAGATTCCACTTTCAAAGCTATACTCTTTGTAAACAAAAGTGATAACCGAAGCTAGTACATCATTTAGAGAATTTGAAGATAACTCGAAGATACTTGTACAAAGTACTAAACATGGTCGACATATTCTGTTTATTACTTAGAGCATAATTGGTTTTTAAGTAATCGGCATACAATTACTAACACAAGATATTTGAGAATCAAGTAGTTCAACGATTTATGAGGTCAAACAGGTATTCTAGGTGAAATTGGATGGTCATAGTTATTTCGAATTAACCAATGATGGAGATGTAAATAATTGAATTCTAAAATTAATGCGCTCCCCATAAAACCTGAAGGTTATGACTCCTACCTTGAGTAGAGTTCCCAATATGGAAGAGTTCAAAAGTAAAACAAAGCACCTCTTGATTATCCACGGTTTGTAATGGTTCACTCCTTATCCGGTGTCTAATAAAACTAATCGTTCCAAGATCCCAAAGAGCTACAACAGTATATGTAGAAAAACTCAACCATAACGTATCAGACTACCCTTTGCATCTAAACTAAATAATTAAAAACTAGTCCCACCTATTTTTCCTTGGATCGAAACCATTCAAATAACAGTGTGGTGAAATGTCATACACCAGTGAAAATAACTAACCGATGATTTTCTCCAGTTTTTAAAGAAACTCTCGCGAGTGGATTTTTCTTTCTGTTTTTCGAATAGTTCTATAACTCACATACATAGTACGTTACAATATGAATACAAGGTATGTTTGAATTTGTTATGTTGCAGGATCAAATGCTAATAGCAGTGGCATTTTAATTAGCCCTAATACATCAGCAAATTTTGATGTTGCGTAGGCGATAAGGATGAAATAGAATTAAATTTCCCACGACCCCATGTAAACATTTATCAAATCCATTCGATATTGTGAATTTCAAAATATATCCTTAAACTCTGCTATTATCAATATTGATTTATGTAATATCACAATGTTGGCTGGATGAAGTCAAGACAGTACTACTGTAGGGAGCTGAGACGTGGAGAACTACTACAACCATCATCAAAAACGTACAAGTATTTGCAAACAATTGTCTATGCAAGACATTCAATATTCGTTGGCCAGATACCATCAGCAACAGCTTACTGTGGGAGAAAACAAACCAGCTCCCAGCTGAGGAGGAAATTAAGAAAAGACGTTTGAAGTGTATAGAACATACATTATGGAAATCACCGAATTGCATCACGAGACAAGCCCTAACTTGGAATCTTGAAGGAAAACGAGAAAGAGAAAGGCCGAAGAACACGCTGCGCAGAGAATTGGAAGCAGACATAAAAAGGATGAATAGCAACTGGGAAGAACTAGAAAGAATTGCCCAGGACAGGGTTGGATGGAGATATTTGGTGGGTGGCTTATGCTCCTACACGAGGGGTAACAGGCGTAAGGAAGTAAAGTCTGGATGAAGTGAGAAACAACAAAACTATTATTATCTTTATTCGATTAATGCTAGATAATTGACAATAACTAGTCGATACTCAAAACTATTCATTAAGCTTGTAACTTTAGTTTCAATTAACACATTTTCCAATGATAGTTAATTTTACTTTTATTTGTAATAACAAAGCAGATAATACATAAATGATTATTTCAAAGTAATATTTTTAAGTCTTTATTAAGTCAGAAAACATTGGCGATATTGTTTTTCAACATTAACTTTTCTCATTTTCCCAAGCCGTTTCAAACAATATTCTTAATATTCTGATTTTAAAAGGTGGAATGTTTGTACATACCGGGCGAAGTGTGAAGGCAAAACACGTAGATGGGTACAATATCATCTTTCTTCATGTCAAAGAGCAAATACACGACATCGATACAAATTATGGTTTAAAGATATATAGTTATTATAAAAATATATACACCTATAATTGCCACTGACAACTTCCATTCTCTCTTTTGTGTGGTCAATGATTATAATAAAATTCTAGTAAATGTTTCAGACATTTTTAAAAATGCTTCTAATATTACCGTTACTTGTTACTTCGATCATTCTACTTCTTATTTGCATGACCGAAAATACAAATAAAGCATTTTAATGAGATCAGATTTCACCAAGATTCGTGCTCCTAAAACAAATCTATTTTAATACTCTACTCAAATAATCTGAGATAAGCGTTGTGAAGAAAACTTTTAACAGTAGTTCCTGATGTCTGAAATAGTTACCCAAGTAAATGAAACTTTCGCCACAAAATTTTCACTATATCAGTCAAAAAACTCAGTATGGTTCACTAAAACGTCAGCTACTTGTGGAGTAAGTGCCACGAATTTCCAGTGCTTAGTGAACTTCGTTTACGAATTCACCCTATTACTTTGTAACACAGGATTGGTAGGCATTCTAATGGACTGAATATAATTTAGTTACGAATTGTTACGATTGATCTTAGAGGGTGATAGTTACCAGTAGTAACATGTTGTTCACTCAAAAATAAAGTGACAATTTTCTTTGGGAAAAATCAGTGTTAGTCTACAGCTCCTGATCGCAAAGCTCTAAATGTCAGAAACGCTTCAGAACTAGGCGGTCGTTGCTTGAAAATAACGATGTTTCATACCAATCAGTAAAGTAGATTTTTATAAGACGTATTTCAGATATCTTATGCACCACGAATCGTCGAAATATTATATCTTAATCTCCACTTCTTCAAACCATTTAGAGAATGAAATGTCATGAAAAACACGGTACTCACATTTGCTTTCAATCATTTAAAGGACGCTTTTTAAATCAATTCAATTTAACTCAGTACTAAAGAGAAACCCAACGCATAATAGGTCTCCGACTTATTACTAAGCTTTGAACAGAATTTATGAAATAAAGGCAAGATTTCAAGTGGATGCCGCCTTGCTACAATAGATGGGATAGTGCTACACTTCTTGACTATTTGATATTAAATCGAATTCCTAAATTAGCAACTAGTGAGTTCCGTAAAAAAAATAACTGGATTTAATGTCCTGCAAAGAGCACGAAACGTTTGGAAAATAATACTTTAGTGTAAACCAAGACACTGAGAAAGGTTTGTTCAGATGTATAAGTCCAACAAAGAAAAATGTACCGCTTAAAATCATAAGTTTCAAGCCCTATCATGTTAACATCACTTATACAAAATTACCCATTAATCAAGTTTTGGGACCCAAATCACTGATTGCTGAATACCAGACTTTGAAAATTATATCTTACGTAGGTCATCGTTACTTGCAATAACAAAACTAAGTCTATGTTTTTGTTATATATTTATCATATAAAGCAGAACTGGGACAATATTTTGTTAATAAGCTGGACAGTAAACCATCAAAACAGAGCATAACATTGTTTACCAGACGAACAGACTTGGTAGAATTTTTTTTCCATTTTCAAATGAAAAAAAAATGCACAAAAAAATTTTATATTATAACTGTAATTTATTAGAAATTGAAAAAGAAACGAAGTTGTAGAAATGATTTATATACAGTAATTCAGAGTATATTTATGGGATATACAATTCCTATTTTAAAAATAAGCAAAGTTTTGGAAAAAAAGTGGAAATACTGATTGAGAACAACACTTTTGCACAACATTCATTCATATTATATGACTACTTGAAAGAGATAAAGACTTATTTTTGTGAACTCGAATAAATGGAAAAAGTTTTGTTTTATCTTAATACACAATAAATTGATGAAATTAGAACAATCAAACAAACTAACAACTTAAATTACAAGATAAATATATCTACATTTATGTTTATATATTTACATTTACGCGCTATTCACAAAATTATCACTTGAAATTAAATGTTCCGGTAAAAAATACTCATCTGGATTTAAACCCATCGCTTTTCTTACCGTATATGGATGGATGAGATCCCCTGGACGAGCATGTTTCGTCAGCTTAATCAGCTTTTCGGTAAGTCTATGGGCGATAGACATTTCATTTGGAGTTGGTCGCAGTGTCGAGCCTAGATTTGCAGCCTGAGAAGTGTCACCAAGTCTCAAATATTGTGAGCAATAAAGTGCATTTAAATCTTGGGCAGATTCAACTAGTTCTGTACTCAATTGCTTAGCATCGTCAGCAATACCTAATGGAAATCAAACAAATATTTTTTATGGTAGAAAGCGTTTATCTGGCAGTTCATATATATATATATATAATCTAGAAAATGAGTACAAGACTTCGAGATGGTGGAAGAGATTGTAGCTCAGGTCGATGATTTTGATGGAGTTTTGTCCTCTGAGTTGTATGGTAGAAGTTTGTGCTGATGATGTTCAGAAGAATAATGGAAGCTCCAAAACTAAACCAACCAGCACAGAGAACGGAACTCCACCCAGTACAAGACTTCCTCTTCTATACAAAAATTATCAAGTGATATAATCTCACCAGCATTATGAAAGGTTTACCTGTGCCAATTATTCGACTTCTCGAGACAAAGTAGGTGGAAAGGACTCAATCATGTCACCTAGTATTTGAAATTTGAATTTCCTTTTACTCTCATATTTATCGGATTGAAGATTACAGCAAATCGCCATCTGCACTGACCACCTTAAGTGATGTTTATCAAAACTGCCACTTTCTATGCTTTTGTTAAGTTCTTTAAAGGATATGACCGTGAGATGGCCCTTTCTTCGTTTGACTTTTTAGAGATTAATCTCACGCTCTAAAACACAGATGATAGTCATGTTTGGTGAATATAACGAAGAAATGAAGCTATTTCAATGTCTTTACCAATAATTTCAGAATGTTTGGAAAGGGTAATCCATGTGAATGTAAAATGTTGTTTCAGGACTAATCTGTTTCAGCTTATGCTATGACCATAGGAACCTAAGTAGCTGAGTGAATTGACCACTTCACTTATCATGGGAGTCTCCACGGACCTGATTTTCTCATCTCTGACGAAGTCTCAGAATGGACAAAAAGACCTTGATTGTTCCACTTTTCACCGCCTGTCATATGCGAGATGTTTATCTGTAAATATAAGTAAATATGATGCTCAGTAGTCTACTTTTGTACTTTGTGGCTATGAAAAATCCCCAATGAAAGCAAAATACATATGTAGGTTAGCAATATTTGATTACAGAGTTACTAGAAGCATAGTTTTAAGTAGAAATGGTGTATCGATTGGTTAGACTACAAACATTTATGGACCTGAGTGGTTGGGATACATGTTACGTGAGACTAGCCACTGACTAAAACAATGCACAACGACTACTGGTGTAGGAGTAGGTTATAGGGAGGCTAGGGGTGATGACACCAATATATCAGTTCACAAGCAAATTTTCTACCAATGATGCAACTCCTTAAAATAATCAACTTTATGAAAATTAAAAATGTAACTAACTTTGTTCTTCAGACTGCAAACGTACACTTGAATCCATGGGGTTATGAAAAGTAGCAGAATCTAAGTCGTATGCAGCAGGAGAGTTGTTGACACCTGTAGATTTGATACTTTTTTCATCAGAATTAACTTCTGAACACGGATCTAAGGAATCAAGAGCAGACAGTTTCTCTTCCTTTTTAATAAGGTCGCGTGTAAATGCATTAGCTAAACACATACTAAATACAAACTCATCAGGTACATCAGGACCAGGAATAATATCTTCTAATTCAGATGATAATTGGGCTATCGCACGTTGTTCACTTCCTGCAACCGCAAGAGAGACAGCTAACTGTTGATCCCCCATTTCCAAGACAGTTGATATTATTTCATCTGTGATCTCGAAACCATTTGCACAACTATATGAATCAAAACTATTGGACGAACAGCTGCCAAGTACAAATGGAGTACGTGCCGGTAGCCATGTGGTTCCCAACAACAATTGATTTGACTCTGGAGTGCAATGAGAAGCCCCACTGTCGTAAACTGGGGCAAATGAATAATAAGAGCCATAGTCTAAATATGTGTACGGTATAATTTTATTGCGTCGATCTTCTCGGTAGCCACCATTAGGAAGTAAATACGAACCTGAATACAAGTGACCTGCCTATATAAATAAATTGCAAAAAATAAAGAACTGCCATGGTAACTTATATATCGAGAAAGTAATTATTATCTAAAAGCTATTATCAAATTAATTTTACTTACAAGGAAAACCAGTCTTGCAGGCTTGAAAAGAACCGGACAAGAAAGGTTAAACAATACTTCGAACAAAGAGTACCTAATTGATAAAATATACATCTGCTGGGATCACCGGGTAAGTAATAGTGAGGTTAGACACATAGTATTAGGGAATAATGGTAAATCAGTTGATGAGGTCATGAATCCTCATCGACTGAGATGGTTGGGCCACGTATTGCGTATGCCTGAACACCGATTACCACGACGCGCAATGCTCACTGGTGTTAGGGATGATTGGAAGAAAGTTAGGGGCGACCAAACCAAAACGTGGCATCAGTGCTTGAAGTCATTAACTTCTGGTCTGAGCCATGTTGGTAGATGAAGACTGCCTGGTTGGGGTCCGCGTGACTATCGTAACCAATGGTTGGAGACTCTTGGTGACATGGCTCAGAATCGATCACAATGGCGTCGGTGCATACACTCTCTGTCTTCCCTCAAACTAAGTGATTAAAATCGCTTCATGTCTTTCTTTCTACGAACCAATTCTACCTTCCTGTACTATATCCTTATATGCAATCTTTCTTTCATATATTACCACCACTGAATTAACTACTTCTATGAATCCGGTGTTCATCTTGCTGTTCTAATGCGGTATGGCGACTTGGACCGATGCATATACGTGCCTGGTCCTACGTTGCAGCTGACTAACTGACTGACTGACAATATACATTTTAACTCAAGTCGGCGAACCGAAAAAAAGATGTGTTATACCTTTACGAGTTTTCACTGTCCCATTCAATCTAACAATCTATAAACGACTGTCGACAGAAACTCGTTTATAAAGTGCTCTTAAAATTAGCACTATATCCACACCAATAAAACTATGAGAAGTTGCGGTCGAGTTTCCAGATACACAGTGGGTAAACTGAGTTAGTTTACCACAGTGATTAAGTGAGACCAAGTAAATGCTCATGCTAGGATTCTGTAGGTTTTTTGGAGATAAGATATATATTGACGGCGTGAGATTCTCAAGTCTTAGCTAGTAAAGTCTGTTGCCTGATTTGACATAGGGTCGGGACACTGAAAACCTTCAAGATAGTTTGGAGAACGGTTTCAGGAGGCTTCGGATATTTTGTGGACTCAAATCATTAGCACCCAAAGCGCGTATAATCGAAGCTGAAAACAGGAGAGTCAATAGTGAGAACGTGAGAGATATTAAGAACCTAAGAGATTTTATTGTGTGCAAGGTTAGCGAATCTATAAGAACTTATCTGAATTTGAACCAATAGTTTCACAGTAGTTGGACGCCAAGTTAACGTAAGACATTAGGGAGGAAAATTGTATTTGTAATATCACAGGGACCGAACTTGAAATACGTCTAACGTTTTTCTGGTCAATCTGGTCCAAACTTTTTCAAGGAAATATGATCAAACGTCAAGATTATCGAATATAGATAAGTATCTGGTCCTCCGACTAGCTGTAAACTAAACAGGTTATCTAATCATGTTACCAATGTTGAAAGTAAGAATTTGCTATAGTATGAGATATTTGGTGTGAAAAAGTGTTATATTTTTTGACCGCCGATCAGGGAGCGGTGACTTATCGATCGAATCAATGACGCGTAAAACCCTTACGAGCAGCTTAGAGTCCTGATTGGTCTCGCTTCCTGTCTAGCCCAGCCAGTTAAGTCCAGAACACCAATCCGAGCCGCTGCGATATGAATCATTATATTTCAAACGTACTGAGTTTATATACCAATCAAACAGATCACAACGTACCGTAAAATAGAAAATAACATTTGTACAAGATTTGGCCAAAAGTGGCTGTGAATGAGGGAGGTGGTGATTAATAGATAGGGAATAATTTAAGAATGGAAAATCGTATAATAACAGTTCATAGGTTAAAATAAAGCTTATGATAAGAGACATGAATATGAATAGTTTAGTTAATTAACAATTATACGACAAAAATATACGCACAGTATTGGTCCATAAATAGATCACAAAATTACCACTCATTAGTCTCATCGGGACACAACAAAAGGAGAGTGTGTTAAGATGACAGTTGTGTATATGTGTAAGTAGATCTGAAATGGGAAGAGAGTCATAGACTATAGATCGCCTCTGGTCAACGATTTTTAATGAAATCAGATAATTTTATGGATGATATGAGTCAAACATGTCACAGTACTGATAAAATAAGTGTTTGCGTTATTATTTTGATCAAGTTGATTGTTTATCATATATTCAGATGAACCAACTGATAAGAACAGGTGAAAGTAACCGTTATTATCCACATAAACGGTAGAATAGGTGGAGTAAAATGTAATACGGAGTTCAGGTTTACTGAGTATTTATTAGTTGCCACGTGACCACTAAGTGTATTCCACCTCTCTTATTATTGTGTTTAGATTTGCCCAAGTGTAGGCTTCAGCTGTTAGTCTCTCTTTGTATGAACTAATTCATTTTCAAAGAATTCTTGTGCCATTAAAATTTATTGTATGACCGGACTCTGTTGAGTGCAATGCTACTATTTTATCAGTGCTGTGATATGTTTGGCTCATATCATCCATAAAATTATCTAATTTCATTAAAAATCGTTGACCAGAGGCGATCTATAGTCAATGACTCTCTTCCCATTTCAGATCTACTTACCCATACACACAACTGTTATCTTAACACACTCTTCTTTTCACACCATATATCTCATACTATAGCAAATTCTTACTTTCAACATTGGTAACATGATTAGATAACCTGTTTAGTTTACAGCTAGTCGGAGGACCAGATACTTATCTATATTCGATAATCTTGACGTTTGATCATATTTCCTTGAAAAAGTTTGGACCAGATTGACCAGAAAAACGTTAGACGTATTTCAAGTTCGGTCCCTGTGATATTACAAATACAATTTTCCTCCTTAATGTTAGCGAGTGTTGTTAGTATCAGGGTGGTTGTCATCCTTTGATTATACGTGTGTAACGAAACTTCTTGAGGGACCTGAAAAGAGAGTTGAGTTGGGGTGGTGGAATAGCGACTCTACAACCCAAAGGATAAATGCTTGAAGATGATCACAAATGACCCTTTGTGATGATTAATGGGTTAAATCTGTATTTTGAGGGCCTTATCGCCAGCAACGTAACTAAGAGAAAGGTATGTTGTCTTTAATCCGGACTATTTCTAACTCCTTCCGTGGTCGAAAGATGGAATGGTTGTTGAAGATCATTGTTCAAGGGAAACATCTCACTGTCTTTTCACCCCCGTAGATTTGGGAGCACAACTTCGCTGTTCCTCGTATTACCGCCCATTGACTTGTCTCGTTCAATAGGACCTAAAGGAACGAATTTCCCAGCCAGTATACATCAAGCCCAACTGCCATGCCGGGGTGATAGATACGGCAGGATAGGTTTGTCTAATATGTTATCGATGACTGTTGAAGATAAATATTCTAAACAATGAACTTGAACAAACTGGGCTGATTTCTCACTTGGACCGGCAGTTTCTCAAACGGGCACTAATCATTCAGCTCATGAAAGACTTCCATTCGCTCGATTGTAAAAACATATGAATCCCTTTTACTGAAAGAACTCTACAGCAAACAAATGATCCTGGGAAAAACTTTATATACATACGCTAGGTTTTCATCTAATGAACATAGAACGAATATTTATTAGGAGTGGCACCTGGGAGAAACTCGATCCACAGTGACTTTTTGGAATTCTATGGATGAGAATTCAGACATTTTGGTTAGTTTACAAAACATTAGAAATTGATAGATAATACCAACGGTTAAAATAAAGTACTTATCTATCTATAATATATCAAACCCACTTCAGTAAAGATACTGTGGTATTTACATTCACTCACACAAAATGAGTGCGAAAATACTTATTTATTCAGCCTAAACTCAATGGTTGGAAAGTGGGTTCTGAAACCACCAGACAACCGCCACTCTACTTGTGATCACAGATATTACAAAGTTACCTTAAATAAATGCTATGAAATAACACAATAGTCTGCTTAATTCGATACTTTATACTTAAAACTGAAATTTAAAAACTATGTGTAAAAGCCATAGGATTATAGAACAAATCTTTTTTAACCAACCTAACTACTCTGATTGCTTAGTATTCTACGGACACTACTCGACTAGTCACTGAAATCGGAACACGGTCTGGACAGGTACTAACTGTACTCCAAAAAAACCAGGCAGTAAATCACAATAAGGAAAACGTTGGTACATTTACAACTTCTCACCAGAAGATTCTAGATTCTTCTCCAATTATCCGCTAGCGCTGATTGGTTGAGTGGCCTAATCAGAGTGCTTTAAAACTATTGTATAAATAAGGCACACAAATAACTCTAACTAATTGATAAAAAATTATTTAACCATGACTAAGGTTCGAATCGATGAGCTACTCAAATTTGTATAGTTATATTCTACTTTTAAATCAGAGGTAACAAAATGAAAAGCTAATAAGATGAGTACAAACCTCGTCCCCAATACTTTGAACCCGTTCTGTTTTACTGATAATACCATTATTATCTGGATTTAAAATGTTTAAATAGGTCTCCTTAGATATAATGTCATTATTATCCGATGTTGTGACTTGCGAGTTTCTATCAACTGTCACTCCACCGTCTGGTGAACGATTTAAAATAGCGACATAATTTGCATTTAGTGAATTAAACCAATCGGTGGTTAGATTTAGCAAACGTTGCGCTTCATTATGAGCCATTGATTCAATTTGATAATATTGAAGAGCGCTATTGAGTAGTTCAGAAACATCTTTTTGAAACTCAGACAGGCTTTTGTAGTATTTCTGGAAAAGTTGTTTTTCTATGTCCAGTAATCCAAATGGACATGAAGGCTACAAGTAACGCAGGAAATAATTTGAAAAGATTTTCACGAGTTTGAAACATTTATACATTTATGTAACATGATGAACAGCAATAGAGAGAAAACAATTAAAACAGGTGGGAATGTAACAATATCTGCCCCGAATAAGACTAAACTAATACTACTCAAACTAGAAAAATAAATTCACTAAGCTAGTTGAAAATTCATCTCAATGAATTATCAGCTCGTCTACACATCCCAGCACGAATTATCAGCATAATGATTTGTCGAATTGAATAGAACTGCCCGAACGAAGTCTGTTCTGCACTGCACCGTAGTCGAAACAACCAATCAAGGGTTATAAACAATCGACTAGGTATTTTAAAAACAATACTTGTGTGCGATGAGATTACAGAGTGAGCAACCTTAAGGACAGATCTAAACAAAAGACAAGTCAGTCATTAAGCTTGTGAACATGTACTGACTTATGTCACAAACTATACGAGTTAATATACAGATCAATCTGATGTTACGTCGGCTTAGTCTTGAGTGCTGTTAGGGGTATGAGATTAAAATCACTTCATATCTTTCTTTCTATGAACTAACTCTTTCTTCCTGTATTATATCCTTATATGCAATCTTTCTTTCATATATTACCACCACTGAATTAACTACTTCTATGAATCCGGTGTTCATCTTGCTGTTCTAATGCGGTATGGCAACTTGGACCGATGCATATATGTGTCTGGTCCTACGTTGCAGCTGACTGACTGACGTGCATTCGACGTAGATTGAATTGGAATGGCGTTACTTTGGGGTAGAATTTCGTTTTCTAGGACGGTTTATTCGTGAAGCTTTAGATATTCTGCAAAATGTCAGCACAACCTGCTGGTAAAGTAATGTGCTAGAATTTCCTCACATATGGCTGACAGTTTGAACTGTCGATCATGAATCCAATAAGTTATTGCTGAAATTCAACCTATTGTCTACATATTTTGCTTAGTTGCTTTAAACGGATTCACATACCTCACTTCTACCTGAAATTTGTGCTAATGATGTTTTTCAGAAAACGTTCCACGATTAAACCATATACTTCAAAGGATAAAACTATACCAAGACCATCCACTCAAGGTACGAGTCTCCACTGTTTCATTGCGCTATGCAGCGAGTTCTTAGTATATTTGGTATATGTCTAGCAGTGAAATCTAGTACGCATGTCTTATCCTATCAAAGTTTATTATTATTTATTTATTTGAACACATAGATATTGGTACAGCGGGGCACCAGATACTGCCCGAGTTCCCAAACCGAAGGTGTCCTATCGAAAAGCTCCTCACGAACTACAATGACGTTCAGAGAAAACAGCAGACCAGAAAATCCATTTTTATTACTACCTTATCCTTGAAACTAAACAGCCAATATTACGTTGTTTACTAATGACCCACAATAATTTTTACTCTTGACGGACTACCGCCATGAAAGCAAGTCAATGAAAAACCAAGGACAACACAACTGTGAAGCTTTGAATATAAACTTTACGGGCAGTGAATTGATCTGCTCTTGTAAATATCAATTAGTGTCCCCTTCAAAGCAAAAAAAAGACTAGAACTTTAAGTCGCATTAACAAAATCATTTGAGTTTTAAAATGACTTACATTAACATGAAACTATTAAGTCTAGTTAACTACTTTTTCTAAAAACCTTTACACCGGAAACAGTTTCAAGCCACACCAAAAAAAGAGGGGAAGCTGTGAAACGTACTATACATTACGTGTAATAGCTAAATCATGATGTTAACTAAGAGCACTACTACGTATTGAGACCGTTCACATTTGTCAGGAATAAACATAAAAATTCAAACATTACCAAATGAATTCAAGCACCAAAGGAATCGACAGACATTGACGACCAGTCGGATTTTTTTTCTAAGGATCGATTAGAAAGACTCACTTTGAGGTGTGGTAGTGGGTAAAGAAAATAGCCATTAACATCTTGTTCCTTGAGAAGGTTAAGGAGTTCGAAGCAAACATCTAGTAATAATGCTTGTCTTTGAGACTCAGTGACACAAGAACTTTCACTTAATTCAGTTGATATTTGTTCCGAAGCATACAAAATTTGGTTAGAATAGTAGTTGAGAGGTACGGAACATTTCATAATAGGAACAGAATTCATATCTGTTAGTGAATTATTGACTGATTCATGGAGACACGAATGAGGTATGAGACCTGTGGAATCAAGGAGTGACTCCAAAGTTATATGAGCTTGTCCATACTTGTCAGTAAACTGTACATGTGAAGCATCAGCCATAACGGCAGCGCTTCAGGGGTATCGTCCACTGATGGAGGTTGCGAGCACTTGAAGGTCAAACTGTTTCAACATGATTGGTGCGTGACATCGACAACTCGTGAAGTTTTTCAGAGGCGGTCAAATCAAGGCATTTTTAGATTTGAATTGAGTTCAACCACACCATGTCTGATAACGTTCATCCTTCAAGTAACGAAGATGATGCCATCGTTATGATGCATGATATAGGACCAATCTTCAATGATATCATGTTATCTCGGAGATTTACAAGTTGGGACAATTTTGAGACCTGTTTGAAAGAAGTACATAAGGTAATATGACTTCTGTGGTTAATGATTATTTTTGTAGTATACGCATACTAGGTACGTTATGTCAGTATGCAAAAAGAACAATGATGACCCAAATCTAAAGTATCTTTTCGTGAGATATGTTTGTACATATGGACGTAAACGCAGTTCGTCAGAGTCAGATGCTTGCGTTCAGGATGTAGGTGATGATAGTGATCATCATTCTTCCGAAGAGCACACAACTTCTAACTCACCCCCACAACCTAGACAAAGAAGACGACGTCGGTCATCTACGTATGCTTTGCTTCAAATTAATTTATCCTTCAGGTCGAAATATTGTCATTGTCAATCTGGATTTTGGGTCCGTGCAGTAAATGGTGAGCTGAAAGTCACCTCTATCAAGACCGTGCACAACCATCCTTGCACAGAAGGATATATTTCTGTAGATCCTTCAAGAAGAAAGTTGACGTCAAGTGAACGTCTATATTTAAGAACTTTTCTAATGAGTAATACGCCGACTCGTAGTTTACGGCATCTGGTTTCTTGGAAGTTCCATAAACAGCTTACCAAGGATGATATCTGTAAAATGCGTTCACAGTTGTACCCAGGTTGTTGAACTCACATTGTAATTAATTGAGATTAGACACCAAAAATATCAATAACATTTTACAGCGCGTTCAAGCAAACACTGAAGTTAAAGTACTCAGTGAACATGGAAACATATCTATGATTTGCTTCAGTCGCAGGGAGCAGGTATCTATTTACCACGCGTTCCCAGAGGTGGTATGTATTGACTCGACTTATCAGACCAACAAAGTTGGGTAAGTAACGAATAGCAATTAATTCATCTTACAGTTTTCCACTGTTCCAGCTAGTGGTGACTGATAGTCTTGGGCAAGGGCACACTGTTATGTATGCTCTTTGCAGGCAAGAACGACGAGAAGATGTCGTAAAATTATTGGAATGCTTCAAAGATATAATGTGCTGTACTTATGATACACGCACTTTTGTTATGGATTCGGCAGCAACCGAAATTTCAGCAGTGCAGTCTACGCACAATCATGCCGACATAGTACTTTGTTCATTCCATGTCTTAAGAGCATTTTTCAGGAAGGTAAGTGTTAGCTGTACAAACTATTTTCTGTAGTTCCGAAATCCTGATGTACGTAAATGCTTGGAACACCTTGTAAAGACTAGACGGTCTGATATGTGAGCTTCGTTCTTCGTAACCTACGTTTGCGTCCATATGACGCTGTGAAGGATCTTCAACGTTTTCCAATTCTTGAGGTAAGAAATATAGTTAAATGTTTCATTAGTTCCAGGTTCCTATGTCATTTCGAACTCTTTTAAATGAGTTCACATCTTTTGCAGCTAAAATTGTAGCTGTAAATTATAAACGTGTTAGGTCAATGAGACACGAATGTATAGCAGGGGAATACATCCGGTGCTACGACAAGGGTATGATGTATGTTGTTGATACTTCACGTGCACGATGTGCTTGTGAGCGTTTCAATGACTACATGCTGCCCTGTGGTCATATTCTGTACGCACATTCTAAAGATCTAATAAGTGGAGGTAAGTGTGTGTTCCTTTGTCTCTATAAGCATTGTAGACTTATTTCGACATAGCAGCCGGTGGACAAGGAAATATATAATGGACTTGGTTCTTCGTGCGCTGGACAACATGTCAATCTCTACCGGGAGTGATGATCTGCTAGAGAAGTTCACTAATAACTACCACTCAATCTATGCTCTTAGTGAACCCTTGGCAAGTAAACTCATCCGTTCATGCTTCGAAGCATCGGAAGAAATATGCGCACAAGTGATGAGTTCAATCGGTGCTAATGATGAAGCCACATAGTCAGAATCCATTGTTAACACTGACCATAGCTATGCTTCTTGATGACAAGAAGTTCTAATATTGTAATGTTTTTAGTTTCACATAAATTTATTTATATGGGCATTAACTCATTCTTATAGCGTTACGGTAGGGAGAGTGTACTGTGAAGTCTTATGTCGCTGTGAGAAAGGGATGTTGTTTCGCGTTCTTGTGTAATAATTACCAGTTTAGCGCACACGCGATTAGTTATACGCACTGTTTACCAAACACTGCAACTTTGAACATGATTGACTATACTACTGGGTCGAATTTCGACTTGTCACGATAGGTAAGCATTGCCGTAATTAAAACACTGATGTGTTATAAATGAGAACGTTTATTAAAGTTTAAATCCAACGAAAATGATCCATTAATGAATAACTTCCAGTTCTTAAGAATTGTTCCAATTAGGTATGTGAACACTTGCGAAGCCAGCTGGAAATAAGATAGACAGGAAATAAGTATTGCAGTATAAATGTTTACCCAAAACTAATATAAAAAGAGAAACCGGCATTCAATTACAAATCGAGAGTGCGTTTGGCACATCACGCTTATTTGCATTATATATATATAAAGACTGCTATGTGAACTTACATTGAATCGTCCTGTATAATCTGCAATTATTGGTGCCTTTTTTATTTTAGTCTCACGCAAGGTATAATTAATTGTCATTTACGGCATCAACATATAAGTTAGCCAGGCCTTCGGTAATTTTCGAAGATCATTATATACGATCTCACACAATCTGGTCACCTGAGATCAAGATATCTTGATTACCCAATCGTACTTATTTCTGCTATTGGCCATCTTTGCAAGAATACCGGCAGCCTGAACATTGGAACTCTGTTCAAGAGATAATATACTACCTATGAGCTAATTAGCTTTATAAAGCAATCTTAGCTTACTCTCTGGTAAAATCTCCACATAATTGTACCTCTCTCGCATGATTATGATTTATTTCCTGCAATATAATGATTTGGTAGCTTATATATCTAACTGTAGAAGGTGATATTAACATATTGGTATGTGATATAACCATCTACAGCATATACATAATATTGACAACACTAACAACAGTTAATATTTCCACTATTAGCCTATGTCTGCCATAAAAGTCGAACAAAACAGTGAAAATCAGCCAAAATTGTAATACAGAAGGGAAAAACGATAAATGTTATCATGGTATCGTTAGTTGTAACACAGTTTTGGTAGCCTTGACGACAATACAATTTTTATGACAATATATGCTTAGATAATATCATTTCATATAAAAATAAACGATTTCTCTGCTCTTTTTGTATAGTTAAGTAGAAATAATCGCCAATCTGCGATGCAAATATGAAAAAACTATTATAGCAGCACCTGATTAATGAATTTTCAAGGACTTCGCGATACCATGTAACGCAAAATGGAAAAACCCCTTTTCACTTAATTATAAAGACGGAAAATGATTTTTCAAATTTAATTATAATAAATTTCAAATTTTGGCTGTGCACAAAGCAGAAATGAAGAAGTAGCGCAAAAAAGTGTCGCGATACCCCTGGAGCGCTGCCAGCCATAACTACACAGTTATTTCATAACTTGTTGCAATCCGTAGAGTCAGTTAAAACAACAGACGTAGTAGTACAAATAGTTGCAGACGGAATAGAAAAAGCTATTATGTCTTGTGTCATAAGATCATCGATTCTCTCAGATAGGCAGCTAAGTATGTTAAACAACGAAATAAAGTATGGGTAAATCATTACTATCCTGAATCTCTAAGAAAACACCAGGTTTCCTCTTAAAGAAAGTGGCTTGAGCCCAACTCCATAAAGTGGTCCATACGGCGGCCGTTGTACTCCCTTTATTGTATCCACTCCTATCAATATATTCTTGTAAAAGTGTCCTTTGTTTTATGTAGTCTTCAAGGTAAATATATTGTCTGGTTACGATGAAAGGATAATCCACATGAGGTATTGACCGCGAGGTGTGTCTTTGAAGCTATCTGGTTCGTCACGCCGTTCCTGACTGAGTAAACCCCGAATCATTCAACATAGATAATCTACGTCAGTGATCTACAGTATCCTATGATCTAGGGTATTAAGCCCATTATGACTAGAACGCTTTCCCAGCAAACTTTTAACCGGCAATGTTGAGGAGCATTTTTGAAAAGTTTGACGGCGAAATCTTACACTTCGTCTTCCAGATTTATTCGACTCTATTCGCAGTATAGAAATATAGTGTTTTCTTCTTTCGAAAATCATAACATTACGTTGCAAAGTATCCAGAAACGATAAGCCTCCCTTGGACTGCGGAAACAGAACTAAAATGCTTTTGATAAATAGGTTATCGAACCGACGTTCCTACGGAAGTCGATTCTAGGGGGAAGCTAATGTAACAGCTTAGGTTGGTTGTCAAGAGTTAATCTCAAGCAACTAAGCATATATCAAAACAGCATAGTTCAGATATTTATTCACTTCTTTATTTTGTTTAGGCGTTATATTTCTATCTATCTTATATTGCTTGTTGAGAGGTTTTGTTTGTCTGAGTAAGGAATCCCACGCTCTACTGTGACTGCGCGAAAATCAAAATAAAGACCTATTATCCTACGAGTCAGGTTTCTTCTATCAATAACGCGAGGGTTACCATAAGGCACGAAAAAAGCACTGAGGTCAGCATAAATGTGAAAGACTTACAGAACTATTTACTTTCAGGATCCATTTACCGCAAGTAATCACAATAAGCACCCTCCTTACACTTTGCAGCGAATTCTATTATCTATGAGCTTGAGTTTTAGTGAAAATCGTGTCTGAACCTACGAATTCGGTAACTGACGGGTCGAAGTAGGGTATTTTGGGCTTCATAATGTGGCAATAAATGCTTGCATGTTTGTTACCATGCATGTTGGTCACCAAGGTACGTATGTGTACACGGCGGGCTGCCTGTTGTTCAGACACATAATGACCTATTAGTTAGCATTATAGCATCCTAAACACTCCCGTTCACTCCCTTAAACACTGAGCCCCAATACAAAGTTGCGCGTGTAGATCATCAACGTAGATAATCTTCGTTGAATAACTGAGGGCCTACTTGAGTTAGATGGGAATGGTGTTATCAATGGCTAACGTGGAAGTCGCACCCTGAGGTCAGCACCTAACGTAGATTACCCCTTCGTCGTATCAAGGTACTATGGATGCTTTGAAGACTGTGCAACACAAAGAACGTTATTACAAAAGTATATTAGTTAAAGTAGGTACATGAGAAAGAGTGGCTACCACCGCGTGGGCCGGTCAACGGCGTACGATTAACCGATGCGCGTTGGTTGTCCCTGACTTTGACAGGGATCGACGATCTGGTCGATATTCAGCTACCCAACCGCCGGACGATTTGGCTGATGCTCAGTGACGTCCCACTGACCCTACAAGGAGAATATCCAAGAAAGCATAAAGTAGCAGAATGGACTGTAGGCACACCTTTATAAATAGTTGATTTTTGAAATTCGCTCACACCTAAGGTGATTTAAGAGACTTTTTACGAGTCCTTTTAGGTGAAACTTGACGTTTTCATAAGAGCAAACGACAAGAGTTCAATACAGTTCAATGATGGTTGCTCTGGTAACAAGATTACTGACTGTGAAGAATGTGTCAGTGTAGTACGTGCTGTTACGAGACGAGTTAAACACTCGACTGTGATTAATGGAAAAGTGAAATCTCCGTTAAAACTAACGATGAGTGAAGCACCACTTGATATTGCATGGGTAGTCTGGGATTGAACCATCACCGTCCCAAATAGTCTCGGTGTGGCTATCCTGAGTGATGGAAAATGGACGGCAGTACGGAGAAGAAGAGGTGAAAGGAAGAAAGCTACAAGTGGTACACACATGGCAAGTCATTGATCAACTCCCATTCTATGTCACAAAATACGATACTGAAGTCTGATAGTAAGGCAGAACTCCACCCTGGCATGGCCGATAAAAGTTTAATCTCATCGAACATTAATGTGAGTAATTTGCTGGAGTCAAACCATCCTGATACCAAAATTAGACACGTGCATAATTTGGAAAAGCCTAGGGAATATATCTGTAGCATCTTACCAGATAACTCTAAAGAAGTTCAGGTCAAAAAGTTGGTAAGAATAAATAAGAGGACCGAAGTGTTGAATCTCTACTTCTTAATGTAAACCTAGCGTCGGAGAAGCAACGTGATCTTTTATTAGGTAGCAGCTGTGGTCACAACCGATATTCCAGTAAGACCTGATATGTTTCTTGAAGATAGAAGTAAGGAAGATAGCACTAGCTGAACTAGAAACCCGTCGACAAAATGGTGAGGAAAATCACCGATTAGTGAGTTTTCGAACAGTCGGGTCTTGGGAACGAATGCTGCCAAAGCCTGTGTGGATAAGCTGTTCTCCCTAGGAGTTTTATCTGCCAACGCTCATAGTTTAAGAAACAAACTCTCCGGAATAAGAACATAAGTGAACAAATTAAGGCGACTCATTGTAGTTGTGACGGAAATTTGGCTAGTCTATGACTTCGACAGTACTCCAGAATTATCCGGATACCACTGCCGAAAAAATGATAGACACATATGTAGAATAAAATGTGGCGTCCTTTTATGCATAACCAATAATATAAATGTCCGCTCCTCTGTTTGCGAATCTCATGATAATGAAACTTGTGAAGTCGTTAGCTGTGGACCTTTCGTGCCTATAGGCAACCAGACTAGTAGTGAATAGGTCTTTACTTTGATCTTCGCGCAGTCACAATGGATTTCTTGTTCAGACAAACAAAGCCTCTCAACATTCAATATAAGATCATTAGAAATATAACACCTATACAAAATAAGAAAGTGAATAAGTACTTGAACTATACTGTTTTGATATATGCTTAGTTGTTTGAGGTCAACTCTTAACCAATCGACCTAAGCTGTTACATTATCTACCCCCTGGAATCGACTTCCGTAGGAACGTCGGTTCGATAACCTATCTATCGAAAGCATTTTACTTCTGTTTCCGCAACCCAAGGGAGAATTATCAACTCGCTCACTGTGACTTCAAATCAATGACGACTAACTCCATCGGCAATCGACGACAGTCCATGGATGT